TCTTCTGTATACTCCGCCTACCTAATTTTCTATCCAATAAAATGGGCCAAGGCAGTTTCTTTATTAATAAGAAATCACTCCCACATCAATCTTCTGTTCCAAAGGCGAGGTTGTAGAGCCCAGTGCAGGGGCACATACCTATAATCCCAACAGTCGGGAAGTTGAGGTTAAGGATGCTCGATGACCATAGCAGGCTGCATACAGAGGAAGGAGGAGACTGGAACTGGTGTCCAGTGGGAAAATTGACAGTAACATGGTTTTTACCTAAAGGGCACACAAAAGCATCCCGGGAATGCCTCAGAATCAAGCATCTGTTCCCCTACTACTAACTGTGAATTTTACCCCCTCCTTGTGCTGTGAGCCATGTAGGGACCTTGCTCTGATGGCTAGAAACACCTCCCCACACCCTCAGCCCATGGTGCTGTCCCATTGTTCTTGTGCACCTTGTCACCTAAATAACCTTTAGAGCCCATCTGTCAGAGTCTGTTTCTTTTTTTTTTTTTTTTTTGGTTTTTCGAGACAGGGTTTCTCTGTAGCTTTGGAGCCTGTCCTGGAACTAGCTCTTGTAGACCAGGCTGGCCTCGAACTCACAAAGATCCGCTTGCCTCTGCCTCCAGAGTGCTGGGATTAAAGGCGTGCGCCACCCACTGCCCAGCCCTCAGAGTCTGTTTCTTAAAGGCTCTAGTTGGGAGTTTGGTTGAGCTCCTGGTCACTTCCGCTGTGAATCTGGAACCTCCACATGCAGGCGAGAAAGGTTTGAGATAAGGGCTGTGGTCAGATGAACCTGTGACAGAGAACGGTCACTTCCCCTTCTTACGGGGTCAGTCATTCATGCAAACTGCCACCGTCATGGGTGGGTGGCCAGGTGACAGCAGAGCTGTGCTGTTCTGCCTCTAGGTAGAGTTATCCATCTGACGGATGTGAAGGAGCCATTCCTGCCAGGTGTACCTGCTTCAGGATAGTCTGCCAGGCAGATACAGCCGCGGGCCACCTCCACGGTCTCTTACGTCTGAAATGTCTCTCTAATGAGAACTATGGGGTTCACACTTGAAGCCCCACAAAGAGGTGACCCAGGGCCTTGGAAATGGCAGAAAGGACAGGGCCCATGCAGAGCCCCTAAATGTGACCCCTTCCTGGCCTTTCAGAAAACCTGGTTAGCAAGGAAACCCAGCAGCACACATTCACACTCACCCACAGAATAACAGTCAGGTCCGTCTCAGTCTCACCATCATGAGCACGGAGCCTGCGAGCTTTGTGCTACTGCTTCCGCTTGGGGTCTTAGGAAGGAATACGTGTTTCCCAGAAGTCCACAGATTGTGCTCCGCTGTGGCTTGTTATCTGAGCCCTTAAAAGCGACTTGGTCTCTGGGCTTCAGCTTCCTGCCTGGAATAAAAGGATTAGAAAAAGCCAGGGCAGCCTGACTCAGGGATGACTCCGGGCTTCTGTGTCTCCATGGTGCAGAGCACCTCGGGGGAGTTTTCTTTTAAATTACTGAGATTATAAGAAAAATCGTTTTTTCTGGGCCTCTTTGTGAGGAAAGATCAGATGCTGAAGACAGAGCTCGATGGTCTCCCACTGTTTATGATTATCCCCGGCCTGAAGCATCCTTAGCCACTTTCCCTGGCTCTCACCCAAGTTTCTGTGTTACTTCTCCCCTCATTCATCTCTCCCCTTCCCTCCCCCCTCCTCCTCTGCAAGCAGAGCCTGGTCCCTGGAACATGGAGCTGGTGCCCGCCCAGCCTACTCTCTGAGTTCACGGGGAGGGCTCTGCAGGGCGTCTATAGGCCAGCACTTTGAACATCACACTTAGTGCAGACTCTTAGAGTTTAAGGGAATCCACAGCTATCCTCTGGCCCAAAAGGAGCTGCCTGTTTTATTGGCCGCTGGGTTAGACGGACTAAGGCTGGCAGTGGCTGGCAGTGGAAATGATTCTCACCCGAAGTCATCCCTGATGCAGTCAGCAAACATCCAACGTCTTATTAAATTGACTCTCAGTGGAATTTGTTTCTTCTCATTTTTATTTTTAAAAAATGAGCCAAGACGTTTTGCAACTTTGAAGAGAATAGCACTTCCTGATCTCGTTACTGGACATATATTTTGAACGTCAAGCTGCTGGACTAGTGAGATACGTTGCTGGAATGCCTGTACCTGAACCTGAGCTCAGGTATAAGGAGAAGTTTTCCTTCGGTTTCCACAGATGCCCAGGCTCTTACAAACAGGGTCCCTATCTCCCTGAACTGGAATGAGGTCAGCCAAGGACTACTGACCTTCAGCGAGAATTGGGGAGAGAACCAGCTGAAGATTCGTGTACTGGCTGGGCATTCAACCCTCAGCTGTGCTATCATTGTTCTTAGGGTCTCTTGTAGCCAAGGCTGACCTCCCACCCTGTAACCAAGGATTACCTTGAACTTCTGATCCTCCTGCATCCACCTCTGGATGTACAGCACTGTCATAGGCGGGTACCACCATGCCTGGTTTTCCGCAATGCCAGAGATTGAATGAAGGGCATTGTGCAGGCTAGGCAAGCACTCTGCCCCCTGAGCTACTCCCCCAGCTCGGCTCTGTTTCTCTAGCAAATTACTTCAGCTGCGCGGGACAGCCAAAGTACCTCTCTTTGTCCCTTGGCAACATGTCATTTTGTGACAGCTCAAAACTCACAGAAGCACTGTGTTCTATCAACCAGTGAAGAAATGGCTTCTGACGCATGGAACAGAGTCATATAAAAGTTACTTTTTTCTAGGCTAGGGAGATGGCTCCATTGGCAAAATGCTCGCCATGGTAGCTTGAGAACCTGAGTTCAATCCCAGAATCCATGCATAGAAGCTGGCACAGTGGTGTGTACTAGTAATCCTGGTACGGTGGAGACAGAGACAGGCAGATTCCTAAGGCTCAATGAGCACCCAGCCTAGCCTGCTTAGCAAGCTTCAGGCCTGTGAGAAACCCTGACTCAAAAGAAATTTTAGAGGTGAATGACACAGAATAACTCCCAAAGTTGGACTCTGACTTCTAAAAGCACATAGGTGTACACATAGAAACACACGCATACACAGAAACACAGAGAAATACACGTGCATACACACAGAGAGAGAAACTATGCACACAAACACACATAAGCACATACACACACTACCACCATTTTTGTCGTTTCTGTAAACGCCTTCAATTCCTCGCCCACCAATCACACTGCCTCCTAATGGAAGCAGTTAGTAATGCAGGTCACACTGCAAATGGGGTCCCCGGGCACCCACAGCCCATTCACCTGCTTCAACTCTGTCCTACTTTCACGTGGCAGTTTTTGTGGTTCATGGTTGAGCCTTCCTTCTATGTTGATTTCCCCATCATTCTGTCTGGGCTGTAAACGACTGGTGATGGACAGGTGTCCCTGAGATTGATGCTGGGCTCCCATCTTTTTTCTCTTTTCTCCCCCAGGCCGCATTTTCCCCCAGCTACTGTGTCATTTCCTCTCAAAGTCTCTGATCTTGTCCCTTAGCTGCATAGAGTTCTAACTAGTGCCACTGCCTCTGGCTCAGGCTCCTTCCCTCCACTTAGCCTCCTCTCTGGTCCCCTAATCTTGACCTCTTGGACTCCACCTCTGCTTTGTAGCCAGGGTGGGACATGAAGTTTTCCTGAGTCATCTCCCAGCCCTGATAGGTAGGAAAAGAAATAACATATGGGTGCCCTGGCCACTGGGATACATGAGCCATTGTTCCACACACACATAAAGCTCCACCACAGCCGTTTCCTGGAGGAAGCAGAGGGCTTCTGTGGCCCTGGGAAGGGTTTTCTTCCTTCTGTTTCTCTTGTCCTTTAGACCCTCCCCCAACACCTGCTTCTCTAAAATTGGATGTTGTGACTTCCTATGTTAGTGACTGTCTGTTCTCCTTTTCCCAATTGATGTGAGACTCATGTCCCAAACAACGGCATCCATCATCACACGAAGGCACCGGGTAATATATTCAGCTCTGTCCTCGGAGGTGAATTATTTTCAACCTGGAGACATCAATGGTGACACAGCACAGCCTGATCTATGTCCCTCCATCCGTGGTTGCATAAGGAAAGCACAAGGTTTCTTTACTTTCCCCAGTCCGTAATTCATTGCTCGGAGGAAGCAAGATGTATATTTAAACCCCAGATCTGCCTCAAAATGAATTGGTTTTTCCTGAGAAACATCTGTATCTTGTAAATAGACTCTTATAAACATCTGTGGGATGGGAAAATTCTCTCATCCTTTCAAATCGCTGCATTCTTGGTTGATCAATGCCAGCTGGTGAGGAGAGGAAGGCCATACTGTTCCTTCCTTGGAGGTGACACATCACGCTGAGTGCCTGGCTTTCACGCACTGTCCTCTCCCAGCCCCTAGCACAGTGTCCTGGGCCAGGGATTAGCTGTGGAGCTGGGCAGGGGGTCTCTAAGAAGGAGCGCCCCAGCCCAATTCCACACTTAAGACTCACCCCCCAGTTCATAGGCCTTAGCGCTTCTGACCTGCTTCATAAGTGGCATGAGACCAGACAGCCCCCAGAAGCAGGAGCTTCTAAATCTCAGAAGCCATCCTGTGTGTTGGTGGGCGGGTGAGGTGCTTACTGGAAAGAAAGTCCTCAGCATTTAGAAGCTAAACCCAGAGGGACAGTTAATATTTAGTCCTTTCATTGAAGGTCTGACCTACTGTTAGCTTCCATCCATCCTAGGTTGCAAGTCAGAGATGGTGAAGGTCAAAGGGGAAATTGCCCACTCTGAATAAGCGAGTGATCCCCAGAGTGAGCAGCCATTCCAGAGCTGTGGCTGCCCCTCTGACTGGGGGAGGAGGTGGCAGAAGGTCTGAGGATGGCCACTGGCCTGAAGGAGGGAGGTTCTGGTTAGAGACTGGGACAGGACAGGACAGGAGACTAGAACTGAGCCCAGAACCCACCTGTGGGGTTTCAGCCCCTTCACCTCCTACCACCCCGCCTGTCTGGGAGACAGGGGACTCCTTCTCCTTCTGTCGGTGTCCTTGACTCGCCCACTGTGCTGGAGGCTGTGGTGTGCTTCTTCTCCGTCTGGTCCATCGTTGGCCTCTCGGGCTTCCACACGTACTTGATCAGCTCCAACCAGACAACAAATGAAGACGTAAGTTCCCGACCATAGCAAGTGGGTGTCTGGATGGTATCTGCATGGTGTCTGCGTGGTGTCTGCATGGTGTCTGCATGCCTCGGAGGAGGGAGGGGAAGGGAGAGATCGGGGTCACCTTTTTCCCTACGTCCCATCCAGCTGTGAGAACCTTGGGGACAGAGGAGGACGTGGAAGCCCTGTCAGGGTCCTACATGAATGTATGGGGTATCCCTGCATCCTCCTACATTCTACCATGATGCCAGTCCTGGCCTAAGACAAGCCAAGTGACACCCAGTTCTGACCTGGAGAAGCCTCTTCAAATCCTCTTCAACCATTTTGGAGGCAGCTTGTCACGCTTCCCCAACCAAAGACAGACCATGGCAGGCTGGCATCTTGGGGTCCAGTGGCTTCTGGAGGAAATTGTCCTGACCCAGCGTTGAACTTTGAGTCCCGGAGTGTCTTCCTGCGCATAATGCAGGGGGAGGAGGGGGATGGGAAACATGTTGGAAACCCCTCCCAGCAAGTATCGTTCGCACCTGCTCTTCACACCGAGATTCCGTCTGTCTATGCATCTTAAATGTTTCCAAGCAGATCCAATTTCCTTAAACGAAAGCTGAGGAAAATAAATGATAAATAAATGAGATAAGGAACTGCTAAAACAGCGCATTCAACTTGGTAACTATGACTCCTGGAATCTGCAAGACGGACAGTTTTAACAAGAGGCTGCATTCCCTATCTCAAGTGGCAGTTAAGGAACCCGAGTTAATTTGTTTCGGTTAGCATTCACTTAATTACAACTTAGGGATAGGAAGTCCGGGCTCAATGGGTAAGAACCTTTGCTCTGCAGTCACAAGGGCCTGAATCTGATACCCCAGTACCCACACAGCCACACACGCCTGTAAACCCAGCACTGGGGCAGGGGTGGGGGAAACACAGAGACAAGCAGTACCTGTGAGCTCCCAGGCCAGCCCACCTAGCTGAAACCATAGGCTTCAGGTTCAGTAAGAGCCTCTGTTGAAGGCAACAGCATCACTGGAGAGCATCAGGGAAACACAGCAGGCATCTCATCTTGGCTTCCGCATGTAATAGCACATATGCCACACACCTATAACACACAACACACAATAAACAAATAAATAAGAGGGGGCAAGATATGAATATGAAAGCCAGAGTCTCCACCGGTTTCTATTAGAACTTTTAGTAGCGCAGTATAATCTTAAAGGAACATTTTTGCCCCAGAGATTGCTTTCTCCCTAACCTAAGCTACTGTCTGAGGATATTTCTAAGTTTTCTATAAATGCTTGTTTTCCACAGAAAAAAGAGTGCCTCTGTTTCTCCCAGTAAAGACTGTTTGCGATGCTAGCAGTGCCACCAGCGTTGGGCATGTGCTGGGGAGATGTTCTCCCACTGAGCTATAGCCCTTATTTGCATCTCTCAAAGGCATCCCTGGGTCCAGTTGGCCAAATCCTAGACATTGTGTTACTGATGCTCCTTCTCTTTCAGATCAAAGGCTCTTGGTCCAATAAAAGAGGTAAAGAAAACTACAACCCCTACAGCTATGGGAACATCTTCACAAACTGCTGTGTCGCCCTGTGCGGGCCCATCTCCCCCAGGTAAGAGTCAGAGAGCAGTACACTCAGTACAGGTCTGGGGAAAGCTGCCTGACCCCACCTGCTGGAGCTGGCCACACCCACCGATGACCCCAGGTCCACTGTCTTCAGTGTGCCGCTTAGACACACCCAGTGACACAGAAGCCTGGCTTCGTTTGCTCATACTTCACTTCTTTTTGGTCGTGAACTGATTTGTGTCCTATCGGGAAGACATTTCCTATATTTCAGACTAGGAACCAGAAGCATGTGACCTTGCTCATTGTATGTCACTCTGTGCATATATTCATAGATCGAAACTTGTAATGACCAAAATGACCTCCCTGACAAATGGATTGACTTGGTGTTTGTACTGGCTGGTTTTATGTCAGCTTGACACAAGCTAGAGTCATTAGAGAGGAAGGGAACTCAAATTCCTCCACGAGGTCTGGCTGTAGGCAAACCTGCAGGACATTTTCTTAATTGGTGATTGGTGTGGGAGGGTCCAGACCATTTTGTGTGGTGTCAACCCTGGCCAAATGGTCCTGGGTTCTCTAAGAAAGCAGGCTGAGTAAGCCATGGGGAGCAAGGCAGTAAGTAGCACCCCTCCATGGTCTCTGCAGCAGCTCCTACCTCTGGGTTCCTGCCCTGCTTGAGTTCCTGTCCTGTCTTCTTTTGACGATGAACAGTGATGTGGAAGTGTGAACCAAACCCTTCCCTCTACAAGCTTCTTTGGTCATTGTGTTGATTACAGCAATAGCAGCCCTAAGACAACTGGGTACTGGGGGTCTATTGCTGTGGTCTAACCTGGCCATGTTGTTTGGGGGAAGATTGTGAAAGGGCTTTGGAATTTTATGCAAGAAAAGCCATTGAGTTCAACGCTTGATGAGTTCTTCTGTAGGAGCCTGGAAGATAAGAATGCTGAGGGTAATGCAGACAATAGAGGCCGGGCTTCTGAAGTTTCGGAAGGAAGTTAAAGACTCTTTCAGGGCCATGTGTTATTTTGAATTAAGGTCCTGTGGTTCTGGGTAGCTGGGTCTGAGGAGTCAGCTGTGGTGAGCAAGATCCCAGAACTGCTGAAGTGAGCCCTTCACTTTGCTGGGACACTTGATGCTGGTCAACGGGAGAGGAGAAATTAGTAGTGATTAAGAAGAGAACAGCGTCACTGAGGTGAAATCTTGGAGCACAAAAGCTGTGCTCCAGAGATGGCCAAGGTTGTACCTTGTATGGCAGCCAAACTTGGTATCTCGGAGTCACCCAGGCCGTACTGATTTTGAAGGCATAAAAGGAGTCATGGGGAGAAGATGAGGCTTGGCCCCTTGAGAGGCCAGGAGAGCCTCCGGAGCAGTAGAAGGCCCAGAGTTGAAAGGGTCTTGCAGAGAAGCTGAAGCTTGGCACCATGAGGAGAACCTATGATAGGCTGTTGGTGAAAGTGCAGCCCAGGTGCAGCAGAGAACCCCAGCATTTTGGAGATGCCGGTACCACGGGAGGACCAAGAACAGCAGCGGTGGTGGACTGGAGCCAGCTGGAGCCTGGAAGACAAACTGTGTGTGCTGCAGAGGACAGAGCTGTGAGGTTGCCCAAGCCCCTTGGAGGAGCCCAGAAGGACCACGAGTGAATCCCAGACTCTAGACGTCGAATTATTTATACTGGTGGAGTTTGGTTTTGCTCTGTTCAGATTGTGACTTGCCCTGGGTCTTCCCTCTTGAAGTGAGAAGGTATTTAATTTTTGATTTTTACAGAAGCCCACAGCTGAAAGATTTTGAACTTTCACAAGAGGTTTTAAATTTTTAAGGAGATCAGATATTTTAGAGACTGAAATTTTAATGTGTTTGAATTTGTAAGGAATGTGGAACGTTTTAAAGTTATATCTTATATCGTGATATTAATATTAATGTGCCATCTTGGGGGGTTTGTGTAGGATGAGTATGTAGACCTGGTCAGCCTTACAGACCAGGCAGTGGTAACACACATCTTTAATCCCAGTAGCCACACTAGTTGCCATAGAAACTGGGTCGTGCATGCCTTTAATCCCAGTGGTGCACGCCTTTAATCCCAGCCCCAAAGAGGATTATAAAATGTTTGGAGGTAGCTCTCAGGCACAGTCTCAGTCTGAGATTCCTGGAGACAGAATTGCCATTTTGGACTGAGGTAGAGGTAAGAGCCAGTGGCTGGCTGTTTTGCTTTTCTGACCTTCAGTTGTACCCCAATTTCTCTTTCTGGGTTTTCACTAATAGTGCTCCACCTGGTTAGAGGTTAGCTTCAATTGCTGAGGTTGGCATAATGAGCTGTGTTTCATTTTACTTGTGGGGACCAAGGATGCTAGGCTGGAGTGACCTCTACCCTTTTACACCCCACTCCATTGAATCAACTTGACAGAGTCTGAGGAATCCATAGGGAAAGGCTGGGTGTTAATGGGCACCCCAGGGTTGGCCCCAGGCCAATGAAGGTGATAATGTTCATCTCTGCCCTTCCCTCCTGGCTTTTCTGGCCTTTTCTTCCTTCAGCTCTGTGTCCTCACATAGCAGGGCCTTTTCCATCAGGCCAGCCAGTTCAGCAGTGCCATCCACCTCAGACGTAGCTTGAGTTGCCTTTCTCAAGAAGTGGAGTAGTCTGTGTTGAAGGGCAGTCTGTGATGAAGGTGTAGTCTATGATGAAGGTGTAGTCTGTGATGAAGGGGTAGTCTGTGATGAAGGTGTAGTCTGTGATGAAGGGGTAGTCTGTGATGAAGGTGTAGTCTGTGATGAAGGGGTAGTTGTGANGTAGTCTGTGATGAAGGGGTAGTCTGTGATGAAGGTGTAGTCTGTGATGAAGGGGTAGTCTGTGATGAAGGTGTAGTCTGTGATGAAGGGGTAGTTGTGATGAAAGGGTGGTCTGTGATGAAGGGGTAGTTGTGATGAAGGGGTAGAGTGTGATGAAGGGGTAGTCTGTGATGAAGGGGGTAGTCTGTGATGAAGGGGTATTTTGTGATGAAGGGGTAGTTGTGATGAAGGGGTGGTCTGTGATGAAGGGGTAGTCTATCTGTGATGAAAGTGTAGTCCGTGATGAAGGGGTAGTCTGTGATGAAGGGGTAGTCTGTGGTGAAGGGGTAGTTTGTGATGAAGGGGTAGTTGTGATGAAGGGGTAGTCTATCTGTGATGAAGGGGTGGTCTGTGATGAAGGGGTAGTCTATCTGTGATGAAAGTGTAGTCTGTGATGAAGGGGTAGTTTGTGATGAAGGGGGTAGTCTAGTTAGTCAAGAGAAATCAGAACTGATCGTGTGCAGGAGGGGGCTAGGGAAAAGTGCAAGACAGAGAAAACGGGTAGGGTGCCTTAGAGTTTCTATTGCTGTGAAGAGATGCCATGACTATGGCAACTCTTATAAAGGAAAACATTAACAGAGTGGCTTAGAGTCTCAGACATTTAGTCCATTATCGTCATGGTGTGACATAGCAGATTGTAGGCAGACATGGTGCTGGAGCTGAGAGTCCTACATCTTGATTGGCAGGCAACAGAACGCAAACTAAGATACTAGGCATAGCTTGAGCGTATATGAGGCCTAAAAGCCACCTCCACAGTGACATATTCCTCCAACAAGCCACACCTACTCCAACAAAGCCACACCTCCTAATAGTGCCACTCCCTATGAGCTTAAGGATACAATTACAGTCAAGCTACCACATACGATATGAGGGGCCTGTCTTAATGGGTTTCTATTGCTGTGACACCATAGCCAAAAACAGCTCAAAGAGGAAAGGGTTTATTTCATCTTACAGCTTATAGTCATCCAGGCTTCATCTAACAACCTCCCATTGCAACTTCCCTGATATAGGCAGAGCTATTTCTCCAAGTGGTCAGGTATACCTGTTACTACAGACCTAACCTATTGTCATGAACCCTGTTCAGGACTTGGAGCTCCCTTCAGGGATTCTCTGAAGCTAAGTTGTCTGGTACTGCCTGTATAGTGCTTCCTGGGGTGCTGTAATTAAGTGTCATGAGAGGAGGGTCTGGAAATAACATGTTGTCAGAGGTTTCTGTCCTGCCCAGTTCCCACAGTCATTAAGTCCTAAAGAAATCACAGAGGTCTACATTAGTTATAAAACTGATTGGCCCAAGCCGGGCAGTGGTGGCGCACACCTTTAATCCCAGCACTCGGGAGGCAGAGGCAGGCGGATCTCTGTGAGTTCGAGACCAGCCTGGTCTACAAGAGCTAGTTCCAGGACAGGCTCCAAAACCACAGAGAAACCCTGTCTCGAAAAAAAAAAAAAACTAATTGGCCCATTAGCTCAGGCTTCTTATTAAGTCTTATAACTTATATTAGCCCATTATTCTTGTCTATGCTAGCCACATGGTTCGGTACCTTATTCAGGGAAGTAGTCACATCTTACTTCTTCTGTGCCTGGGTCAGGATTGCAGAGAAATGGGCTTCCTCCTTCCCAGAATTCTCCTGTTCTCATTGACCCACCTCTACTTCCTGTCTGATTGTCCCACCTATACCTCCTGCCTAGCTACTGGTCAATCAGTGTTTATTTAAAATATAATTGACCAAATATTAGCAATTGTCCCACACCGACATGTAGTTCTCACAGTCTGAGATCAGAAGTTTAAAATAAAGGCATCAGCAGTCGAGCCATGTGTCTTCTAAGTAGGAAGTGTTTTTTCTTGTTCTGCCCAGCCTCTGGTGGTGAGCAGCCATCCTTGATCTTAGCGTCTATGTTCTAGTCTGTGTGTCCATGTTTTGTGGCCTCCTTCCTGTGTCTGTTTCTCCACATGGTACTGCCATCTGTCTTCTCTTCTTAAGGACACCAGTCATAGTGGGCTGAGACCCTCCTTAGTTAGGAATTCATTTCTCATGGTTACCTTTGCAAGGTAACCATAGGTTACAAATAGGGTCACGTTCACAGGTGCGGGGATTGGCACAATTCATTCCCCAGTGTTCCTCTTCAAGCCAATGTCAGTGGACAGAGGAGTGGGAGAGAATGTGGCTTTGGTGGGGATGGTTTGAAAATAAATACAGAGAGAGCAAAGCAGAGTGCATACAGGTGTGGTTCGCTCTGGTCTCCCACAATGCACCAGTCCCGTGTAGGCTCTCAGAAGATATCTCTGAATTGGTGTGATAAAATGATGTAGCCTTGAAACTAGAGAAGAAAGTTGAGAACAGTTGTGGCAGTGGGCGGTACCTAAGAGGAAGCTGTTGGGGCCTGTAGCAGGTGACAAACATCTAGAGTGACAAGGGGAGCAACCAATGCCACAGACCTCTTAAAAGTAGAAATGACAGGGAAGGATACAATTCAGTGTTAGAGCATGTGTCTAGCATACACAGGTTCAAATCTCAGTACCCTAAAGGAAAAAGTAACAGAATTTGGTAACTGATTTCATGTGGAGGATGCTTATGGAAAATTCCAAGATGCCTAGGTGGGTTCATCACAGAGCCTGTTTGAATCTCTTTTCCTGTTTCAGGAATAACATGCCCTGATAAAAACAATTTAATGGCAGAAGGTCTTATTTTGGCTCACAGGTCAAGGGTACTTCAGGACAGGGAAGTCAAGACCAGAGGGGCTTGATACAGCTCATCATATTGTATCCACAGGAAATGGAACAACAATGCTTATGCATACCCCACTTTCTCCTTTGTAGCTGTAGCTGAATATTTTTCTCTGTCAGCTGGTCCCCCTGAACTGGGTTCTTTCCTATTCATGGGTCCCTGCAGCTGCTTATGGAATAACACTCTAAGGTTTAATATTAATCACAATTGTTTGGCCAATGGCTCAGGCATATTACTGACTAGCTCTCACAACTAAATTAACCCATTTCTATTCGTCTGCATCTTGCCATTAGGCTGTGGCTTACCAGTGATGCTCTGACATGTTACTCCTTCAGCAGCTACATGGCATCTCCATGACTCTGCCTTTCCTTTCTCTGAATCTTTGTTTGGATTTCCTGCCTAGCTGGCCATTGGCTGAAGTAGCTTCATTCATCAACCAATTAAAGCAGTGCATATTGGCAGCATCCAGAGGGACGTCCCACATCACTGTACAGTCCAGGACCCCAGGCTAGGGAATGGTACTTCCCACAGTGTGAGGATTGTTCACAGTCAAGATAATCTTCCACAGACATGCCCATATATAGTGGTATATTATTTGTGATTTAATAAATAAAAGTTGCCTGAAGATAAGAGGGCAAAGCAGTCACACTAGTCAACCATACAGGCCAGGCGGTGGTGGTGCACACCTTTAATCCCAGCAGCCACACTAGTTTGCCATAGAGGCCAGGCGGTGGTGGTACACACCTTTAGTCCCAGCACTAGAGAAGCATATAAGATGGGAGGAAACGGGTCTTAGGCTTAGTCTGAGGATTCATGGAGACAGGATATTGCCCTTTTGGTCTGATCTCTCTGGTGGTTGGCTGCTTTGCTTTTCTGATCTTCAGCTTTAACCCCTATATCTGTCTCTGGGTTTTTATTATTTGTGCTATACCCATGGGCTCATCTCCCAGGCGATTCTAGATCTCATCAAATTGACACTTGAAATTATCCATTGTAGAGGGACCCCAAGCCTAGACATTTAAATAACGTTATTATTATTATTATCTTTGAGCTTTTCCTCAGCCTCTCCTTCCTGTGTTTGTTCTTCTACAGCCTCATCGACAGAAGAGGGTACATCCAGCCCGACACACCGCAGCCAGCAGCACCATCCAACGGGATCACCATGTATGGGGCCACGCAATCGCAGAGTGACATGGTAGGAACTGCCTGCATCAGGGCCACTGTTCCCTGCGAAGCCCTCTCTTCTGCCGGCATGCCCTCTAACCTAATAACACAGGCCTGAAAAGCAAATGTTAGTAGGAGGGGCATTTGGAACATCCATATGACTGGCATGCTAGCATGGGAGAAGTAAATGACCAAGTCGGACAGTATTCAGGGGGGGGACCGTGCCAGCCAGTGTGACTAGCTCGTTACTTAAGGCGCGCGCGCGCGCGCGCGCGCGCGCGCACACACACACACACACACACACAGTATCTGTGCTCCAGTAGTATATGGCACATTGAAGGAAGCCCCTGCCACGCAATCAGAGATCATGTCAAGGACAGCATCTGCCTTCCCCCCCAGGGCTGGACCTGCTTTGTAGTGTTCATGTCCTGTGCTGCCCATTCCCAGGGTGTGATGTGACTGTACTAATGTACCCTGCTTCTCTAAGTAGGCAGACCAATGCGTCTCCATACTTCCACCCTGAATCTTAGCCCGACCCGAAGCCACTCTGTACAATTTTAGACCCAGGGCTCCGTTATTTACAGTGTAAACCAAACTCCCTGCACACCTCTCCCGAGCATACATGCGCCATGCCCAGACCACCGTAAGGCAGGAGGTGGGGAGAGGGCAGGAAATGCCTTACTGTGGACATCTGCAGCGACTGCGCATTGACCGTGACCCTCGGAGCCTGAGTTTCCTGAGGTGTTTGGAAGCCAGTGGCCTCTCCATTTGCCTAAAGAAGCTTCCAGCTTCCGCAGAACTGAAGTTGAAGCTCCCACCCACCCTGCTGCTTGTCATTTGTGCAGCTGAGTCTCCTACACGGAGTTTCCGGGTCACACAGAGGAGCTGGCTGGGGGTAGACTTGGGGAACCCTCGCTGCTGAGCAGAGAGAGCTGCAAGGTGAAGGTTGATGGCAGGCTGTCTCCAAGACCTGGAGCTAGGAAATCATCCCATTCCCTGGTCACCCAGGACTCAAGCCCCCCTGCAGGAGGATTGCTCCAGCTCATTGTTTGCTGCCGGTGGCGCCTTGGTTGAGTTGTGTTGCTTCACCAGCTAATAAAGCCTCCTCTGAAAGCAATGTGGACACAACGCAGTCTCTGGCACTCTTCTCCATGAACACACGCCCACACAAGGAACCCTGCAGGCCTCTTACCATACTTCTCAGGGAATCAAGAACTGAGAGAGTAGGATATGTGCTCACAAAAGGGAGGATATTGAATTTATTAGGCAGCAGATGTCCAAGATACTTAACGACCTCATTTAATCCTAAACCAACAGTGGAAAATTATCACTCAGTTTTTTTTTTTAGCTGTAATAGGAGTATAGCAGAATTTCCACCAGTGTCTAGTGATTGCTTCTCTGACTGGCACACATACTATATGCATGCAAACTCCCACCCATTCATCCAGCACCTTCCCAAGGTTCTTGCTGTGTGTTGAGTGCTAAACTCCTGGGATAGAAGGCTTATAGTGCTTAGCCCACCCATATTCAAGGTCCTGAGAGTCAGCACAACACGGAAGCAAGTTCATGAAGGCAGTGTTAGCAACCTTCATCAGATGGCAGTGTTCTTAGGGAGACCGGTGGCCTTGCATTAGTCTCCGTGAGATCCCCTAGCAATGACCCCAGATTGCTCTGCACAGCCCTTAGCGTCAGAAGCTAAACAAGGGCATTGTGCAGGTGCTGACAGCCACTCTGGACTCAGTAATAGGACATGGAGTAGTTGCTTTTACATGGCGTTGATCAAAATACCTGTGAGAACAACGTAAGGGAAGAAATACTTCTTTGGGCTCACGATGCAGCTGATGGTTCAGCTGACAGTTGCTTGGCCCCTTGTGCTCGGGCAAGACGTGATGGTGGCAGGAGCGTGCACAGAGTGTGATCTTCACTTCAGGGAGAACAGAAAGCAGAGGGGGGGAGGGGAGAGAACGAGAACAGATAGGAAGAGGATGCCCTCTTTGGATAAACACCCAAGTGACCTACTTTCTCCTAAAGGATCCAGAACCTCCCACCACTGGCCATACCTTGTGAGCCTGTGAGAGACATTTCACAATCAACCCATAATAATACAGAACTGTGTGGTCATTCCGTGGTCCTGGACACTTGGGCCTGACATAGGAGCAGTGCAGAGGCTTCTCTTCCACATGGGGTATTGTAGAGTCAGTAAGCTCTAGAAGTCCAGGTGCTAACCATTACACAGTGGAACTGAAGCCAGCCTGTGGATACCTTGAAGAGGGACAGAGAGGTGAAGGAGGGAGAACTGGCCGCAGAGACCAAATAGCCACCACTTACCCCATAAGTGAGTTTGACAAGTTCCATAGCCTTTCCTGGACTCCATCCTTAAAGTGAGAACATTGATGCTGCCATCTGGTAGGGCTTCTGTGAAGATAAAGTAGGTGAATGGATAGCATTTAAATCTTGCCTGACACAGGGTGGGTACAATGTAAGCCTTTGCTCTTATTATTCCCTCCCTGGCGTTCATGGGTAGCAAGATCTGGAGCAGTTGTAGTCGGACAGGAGAGGACATGGCTGACGAGTGTAAGAGCTACCAGTTATTCGGAGCTCGTGCTGCCTCTCTGGTCCTCAGCATTCCTCGTTTGCAAGATAGGAGCCAGGACTTCCTGTGTCTAAAGTCACTTCCAGCTCTGACCAATTATGGGTCCAATCTTTGAGCATCACAGTCCCAACACACAGGGTAGCCCCACCTAGAAGAGGGTGGGCCATGGCTCTCAGTTCTTCCTCCTCCAACCCATCACGCCCCACAATTCCCAAACTGAGTGCAGTCCAGTCTACCTGCCAACCCCCCCACCCCCCCTCCAGAGATTTGCACTGTGCGTGCCTCTTCTCATTTGTCTTGTGTTTCTTATGTATTTCCGGGGTAAATCCCACTCAGTCGGGACACACAATTATCTTCTTAGGTTGCTCGATTCGCTTTGCTGGTATTGGGCTGAGGCGCGAGAGACGTGGTCTGTGGATTCCTTCTTTTGTAAAACTCTCTGTGTTGGTGTCAGAATGCTAAGTGGCCTTCTAGAATGACTTCAGAATCATGTCCTCTAGTCTTTCGCTGAATAAGCTGTGAAAATGGATGCTGTCTTATCTTTGCCGATGCGGAAGAACTCCCTAGCGAAGCCTCCAGCTTTGAGTTTTCCTCCTTCTGTGCTTAGGAGTCTGTTCCTAGTTTCTGTTTCTTGGCCGGTGTCAGCTGCGGGTGTCCCTGTGGAGATGTGTGCATCTCAGCCATTGCCGTCAATCCCTACCTGTCTTACATCAGTACTGCTCTATTCTGAAAACAGACGGCTGAAATGTTAAATAGAAAGTTCCAGTAACTGATCAATGTGGGAGGAAAGAGACATAGGTGGAGACTTCAGTGCAATTATAAAAGCACACGGTGGAGGCCCGGCCAGATGCTCACTGGGTAAAATCGCTTTCCATCCAAGGATACAAGCCTGATGACCCGTGTTGGGCCCCCAGAACACACATAAAGCTACAAGGAGAAAACCACGTCTGCCAAGTTTTCCTCTGACCTCCACACGTATGCTGTGTTCTATACACACATACCCACACACAATAATAAAACAATAACCTCATTTTAAAAGCTCATGAAATAATTCTCTGAGGGGCAAGTTGGGATATTTTTTGGAGGATAGTCTTTGTTTTAATCTCCGTGTGTTATGTGTGTTCACACGTGTGAGAACAGGTGCACACATGCCACAGCACACATGTAGAAGTCAGAAGACAGCTTCAGTTCTTGGTCCCTGACTTCCGCCTTGCTTGAGGCAGTGTATGCCAAGCCAGCTGGCCCATGATCTCCTGGTGACTCTCCTGCCTCCGACTCCCATCTTGCTCCTGCGTGTGGCTATGCACCACCATGCCCGGCTCTATGTGGTCCTGAGGGTCCAAATCTAGGTCCTTGCACTTGGGTGGGAAGTGCTTTACCCATGGAGCTATTTTCCCAGCCCGAATTTTGGTATTTATTTTATTTAAAAAAATACATGTAACTCTCCCAGCTGAGAGAGTGGTACCTCCAGCCAAAGGACTCAACCAGGGGTTGCGTATCTTTTGCTGTTTGCTTTGCTCTTTCTCTCTTTGAGTAGCATCAGGGCCAAATATACACACCCGGCAGTCTCCTGGAGGTGACACATATGGTAAAATTAGTGATGGTATTTAAGAGTAACAGCACAATTACTTCTTTGGGGCTATTAAAACATTCCTCTCGTGACTTCTAGACTGCCTCTAACGGACATCCCAACTACACACCATTTCTCTCTCTCTCTCTCTCTCTCTCTCTCTCTCTCTCTCTCTCACACACACACACACACACACACACACACACACACACAAAGCCAGCCCAACAAAACCAGCAGGGTCTGACCAGCATTTCCCAACAGCTCCCAAGCCGTCTGGTGTCTAATGCAGCCGGAGATAGCAGGCATCTCTCCTCTGTTCCTTGGAAACAGAAGCAGCTGGCCCAGCTGCTTGCCAAGAAATCCATCACTTTCCTCTTTATGGATTTATTTTACAGAGTTAGCACTCACAATCAATTTGAAAAATCTTGTATCCTAATCCTCAATATGAAACAAACATGCAAATCCATTAATAGAGTCATAAAGTGAACTTCAAGCCAGTTTGAAGCAAAGCCAAGCTGATTGGGTACAGACCCGCACTGCATCTAGTGATGCTCTCTGAGGATCTGCTCTCCTAATAACTTTTTAAGTGCTGTTATTTGTGAGGGCTGTCTCGTTCCGTCCTCACCTCAGCTTAGAAGACATCCCCAGGGGTGGGGGTTTGGATGAGAGCGTTCTCCATGGGAGCATTCATCTGAACACTCGGTCCCCAGTTAGTGGAACTATTTGGAGAGGACTAGGAGGTGTGGCCTTGCTGGACAGTGTCACTGGGAGTGGGCTTAGAGGTTTCAAAAGGCTTCCACCATTCCCAGTGGTACCCTTTCCCCTCTCTTGCTCCAGCCACTATGCCCACCTGCTGCCTCTGTCCTAC